ACAATGTGATCAAGACCGACCCAAGCTTTGCACTTTGGCTCTTTAGACTAAAACATTTTTTATTGCATTATACATATCATCAAAATTGTTTTCAAACATGCTTAAACATATTAAAAACACTTGGTGTTCGCCCAAACCAAAAACCAAGCCATCCGGGGTTCGGCTTTCAGAAACCGGCGTTCGGTTTTCAGAAACCGGCGTTCGGCATTCGGTTATCGGCGTTAGTTTTTGGCGTCCGAACCAACCAAGTGGTTTTCAACTTTTTATGATTGTTTTTTACTTCTGGGCACATTTAAATAGTTTTCCATCAAAAATACTTCAAAAACCACCTTTCGTTTTTTGTCGTTTGATAAAAACCATGCGAAACGGCATAAACTTGGCTAGCCGTGGTTTTTACTTAAATGAAGTGGTTTTCAAGTCTTTTTGTGTGGGAATTGTTTTTTAATGCATTTAAATGGTTCTCCAATCAAAACATCATGAAAACCACCTTTCGATTTTGTCTTTTGGTAAAAACCACCCGTGTACTGCGTTGACTTGGTCAACCATGGTTTTTACCTTAACGACGTGGTTTTCAACTTACAAAGCTTGTTTTGACATCACAATACATTAAATAAGTGATTTAAATACTTAGTTTTTACTTTGGAGAACTTTGCATTTTTTCGGTCAGGTTTCAGCGCCGGTCGGCTAAGCCATGGTTCTGGACTAGCCATCTACCCAGCGATGGTAGATTTCACCCATGCATGGGTAAGTGATCCCGGGATTCCAGAATCATGCCACCTAGCGATGGGAAGATCTTCCCATAGATGGGTAAGCAGTCCCTTAGCCAAACCAATTTCCAGAATCATGCCAAACAGCGATGGGAAGTTCTACCCATCGATGTTAAAGCCTTGGTGCAACATTACCACAAGGCAGAATGCCCTTACCCAGCGATGGGAAGGCTTAACCATCGATGGGAAGGCATGACCGTTGGGAGTCATTTAAGGCTGATTCTTTCCTTATTTGAAAGTCAACCTCCCACCCAGTGATGGGAAGCATTACCCATCGATGGGTAGGTAACCGTTGGCTTCAAAACTGAAGGAAAATTGGCTTACCAGCGATGGGTAAGTTCCAAACATCGATGGGAAGCCAATATCCTGCAGATCCCAAATTTATTCAATCCCATAAATCAAGCCAATCACCCCTTTAATGTATTGGTCCGTTGGAGCCTATTTTGGCACTATAAAAAGGGGTGTTTGGGTCTGCTTTACACAC